TGTTTTCAATAACCTCATATGCATGTGAAAGCTGGACAGTGAATAAGGAAGACTGTAGAAGAATTGATGCCTTTGAGTTGTGGTGTTGGAGGAGAATCCTGAAAGTGCCATGGGCTTTCAATAGAACCAATAGATCTGTGTTGGAAGAAGTGCAGCCAGAGTGCTCCTTGGAGGCCAGGATGGGCAGACTTTGTCTCTCATACGTCCCTGGAGAAGGACATCATGCAGCATCAATAGGCTCATGCGTGGCAACAATTAATTGTGAGGTTGGCCCAGGACTGGGCAGTGTTTTGTTCTGTTGTGTATGGTGTCACTATGCGTCAGTACTGACTTGACAGCACGTAACAACAACAACAGTATAGAGTTTTCATGATTGTGACCTCTCAAACAAAGATTGCCAGATGTTTCTACTGAGGCATCTCTGGGTGACTGTGAGCTGTAAACCTTTTGACTAGAAGTTGGTCATGTTCACCTTTTACACCACCCCGGGGCTCCTTTTTAGTGGGGAGAGGAGACAAATAGCTGGCCGTGAACAGTGGAGAGGGCACACTGATCTCACCTTTGTGTGTCTGCCCCCCACTCCCCACCACTGCCTGCTACACTCAGTCATCTGGAGCACATTTAGGGATAGGCCTTGGTGAGTGATGCAGAGTCATGAAGAGGGCTTCCTGGAGTGAGGGAGACCACCAGGTGAGACAATGCCCAGAGGCAGGAGGACAAGGGTGGACAAGTGTGGTCTGAGGTCCAGAGTTTGAGCCGCAGGAGTGAAGGCCCAGGTGTGGTGGGAGGGAATAGCTGGGGGATATAAGATGGGGTATGCATGGACACCCACCCTGGAAGCTGGGCAGAGGGAGGAGGCTAAGGGACCAAGAGGAAGACTGCAGGCAGCTGGGCAGGGAGCTAGGTGTGGGTTTGGTGAGGAGGGCTGGACTGAGACTGGCTTTCTGCCTCCAGCTCTGTGTCTGAGATGGGTGGGCTCTGACCCTCCCTCACAATGCATGCAGCGAGGACCTCACTTCCCTGCAGACTGACCTCCCTTTCTGAGGCTGAGCCCAAGCAGTGATGTCAGACCCGTCCCCAGTGTCCTTACTATGCCACAGGGCCCCTCTAGGATCCCATGAAAGGATGCTTTGTGTCCATTCCCAGCAGGCACAGGGCAGTCTGGGGGAAGGTGTCCCCTTGCCCAGGGAACCCCCCATGGACACAGAGCCCTGTTACTCCAGGAATGCAGGTTGCAGGATGGGAGCTTCGCTCTGCAGCCTTTAGGGTGCTCGACTCAGGGTCGGAGCCGCTCTTCAGGATACTAGGTGGCCTGTTGGATGGGCCCTGGACTGCCCACCTGTACGAGGGAAGGTGGATAGAGTCAGGGGACATGACCGGGATGTCCCTGGGGTGCGTAACCCTCTTCCAACCTTGCTGGTCCCCCCCCAGAGCTCCAGCTTGCCCTCCCTGGGTGTTGGGGCTTCACAAGGTACCCTTGAGCAATAGACCCCCACATCAAGTGCTCTGAGAAGCAGGGGTTCCGGTAGCCCCCACAGTGGACACTCTTTTGTAGACTTTCCCCAATAACATGGCAGCTGCTGGGGAAATAGAACCAAACATGAAATCTGCTCCTAACCTAGGTAACCGTGTCACAAAAGTAGAAGAGAGACCTGGCTTCAATGACTGGATGATCAGAGCTCAACTAGAAGAAGAACGAAGAGGAATAAAAGAGTAATCTGATACAATTTTTTTTTAAATGTTTTATTGTGAATTATGTGATAGTTTACATGGGAGAACATTAGTTTTACATTCATTCTATTGTATATCGTATCATTGCCATGGTTACAATCCCCTCCATGCATCATCAACCAACCAAAGGGTATACCCTGCAATCCTGCCCCACCCCCAACCCCCAACGCCG